TAAACTCCTCAGTTCCTGTGTGCTTGTTAGGATTTAACAGATCTATATTGAAGTCACCACATATGAACATTAATTTATGACTTATTGTGAAATAGTTCTCCTCAATCCAGTCATTAAATTTTTCTATGCTGGCTCCAGCTGCTCTATAAATACAGCTTATTACAACATTTTTCTTTTTTTCCAAAAGTAATTCAACCGTCACGCATTCCAGAAGATTCTCGACCACCCTTGACATTTTCTCCACTTTTTTTATAACAAAAAGTTTTATCTATGTACAAGGCCACCCCACCTCCCATCTTTATCTCTCTGTTTGTACATACCAAGTCATACCCATCAAGGTCAAAATCCATTCCCCTTACATTATTAATCCAAGTTTCAGAAATAGCAATTATATTAAAAGAATGAAGATTAAACATTAAATGGCTGGAAATGAACAGCCGTGGGCATTTTAATTTATATACTATTTGTTTTTTAAGTTGTTTGGTGTACCTTTTTGTATTTTTTTTTCCCAGATATCCTCCCAGTTAAATGTAGGCTATATATTTATGTTAATTATTATATGCTATTATCTGTGTACATACTGACTAATTGAAAAGCAGAAAGTTGTGACTCATTTAACTGTTTTTACTGAGTTAGAATATCATTTGTGTACCATGTGTCCATTAGGAAACTCAGGTGTCTGAACAACTGTATTTAAAAAAGCAAAACGCGGAATTGTCATAGTTTGATATTGTCATCATATTTGAAGCAGCTATTCAGTATGTTGTTTACAACGCCACCATTATATTATAGAACTATAAAGCCGCAGGCAGTTATTTAGATTGTAATATATAATTTTATTTTAGGTGAACCAAATGTTTTCCTGAAGTTAGAGGCCTGCTCCTCTTTTTCTGTCATCTTGAGTGTTTGATGCTTTCACAAGAAGCCTTTGGGGTTTCCTTTCTGGCAAGGCCTTATTTATTTATGCAATCAGTATAGTTTAGCTACTGCTGTTTTAATTTGGGTATGTCATTATAGGAGTTTTTGCTTAAAATAGGGGTGGCGTGTTCGAAGTTGAAATGCCTCCGATTTCTAAATGACTGAATTGAGAGAGCAAATAAAGTGTACATTATCCTGTAGTGAGGCAAACCTCCCAGAGCAGTCATGTATGTGTACCAGCTGGTTGATGGATGTCTTGTTTTCCAGTGAAACACCTCATGTGCATCCTGCAGCCAGGACCCAGACTTGTTAAGGCAGCTCCTGTGTGCTGTTTACTGTAAGATCCTTAGGGACCCACAAAAACAAACCTCAGACTGACTGGCCTCATTTCCCTGCATCCGAGTGAAAAGTGCTCCTCTTCTCCCTCCTGAGCAACTGGCTGAAGTCAGATAGCACATACGTGATCGTAAGGATGACCAAGTTTGTAATGGGAGAGGTGATTCATGAACCGGTGATGCACATTGTGTTATGGTCCCAGTTGGAGGTCACTTGCGTTTACACAGCACAGGCAGGCAACACTTCTATTTTCAGGATGAAGTGTATGTAATGATTTGGCAAGGAGAGTTTTTGGAGCAAATAACTGGGAAAATGAATCCGCCCTGGGAGATCCTGGATGTTTTTCTTTCCCCATGTTTCTCATGTAATTACAGTCTACAGAGAATGAAGGGCTGTTCATTTTGAGTGGAGCCAAAAGAGTCTCCTGTCATTTGGTGATGGTTCTGGACAGCACCATCGTTAGTTAAATACATCCTCCTGGTCTCTTTTGTTGCTTATGTATTTTTGCGACTGATTTC